AGCATCGTATTGCTCAAATAGCATCTTGTTATCATTAATATTAGAGAAAGGTACTGAATCGTTCCGATAGAGACTCTGACTTATAATCGTGAAAGTAAAAGGTGCTAAAATTGACGAGTTAATGAATTATTTACGTAGATGGACGTTCAAAAAGAAGCATGAGAGGAAGACATTCCAACAGAATCCAAACGAATGTGGCTTGAAAGACTGGCAGATTGTAACTTATGAAAACGGCAAACAGATGGCTGATGTTAAGGTAGCTTTGTGTGGCTTCATTTCGACTACGTTTGTTAGCTGATATTATCCAGTTTGGAGAGTATATTCAATTAAAGTTACACATCAATGGTGAATCTATCATCTGATGTGATCGGTATTAAAAGAGGTCACCTTTTTGTGTAGACGAAGTCTGGTTGACATTAATTTGCACAGAGAATTTTTGCTCGATTTGGCACCTTTTAGGTTTGGCGCTGTGAAAAAATTTGAAAATATTACAGGTTACTCTGAATGGCATCGGACGCGTGACCTATATGGTAGGTGATGACTTGAAACCTGTACAAAAGGATCGTCAAGGTGCGATGTGCACTGGTCAATGTGCTCCGTTGGCAAGCCCGGTGCAGCACAGAAAGATTTCACCCGCAACCACGCCGAAGCCTAAATAAGGATCGGATCAGTCATTACAATGAAAAATTTTTTCCTAGAAAATTGATTTTCTAAAATTGTTAATAAAAAGTTTCATCTAATCCTTAAAACGCTAAATGCAAATGCTGGAATACTGAAATACTTCTCGAATGATTAAGCGTCTGTGAATGCTCTGCATTATGCTCTACAACTCTAGAACATGATCACTTGTATTGAAATAAAGCATGATTTGGTTCGATGAAGATAATAAAACTTGATGTGTGCATGAGTCCAAAGAAGGCTGCAGTCTGAACTGATGATATGTGACAATGAGTGAGAAACACTGAAACGGAAAGGAATAAATTCAATTTGCATTGAGCTGAAATCTAGGCTGAATTTCTTATTGTTGACTGTTTTTATGGCTTTCTAGTAGAATGTAATTTTCTTTTTATTGACAACACAAACTTGAGCGAATTGCTCCAACTGTTCGCAATAACGCACAGAGAAAACTAATTATGGCAGATTCATTTGACAGATTCTCGATAAGATAATTTGCGTCAACTAGAGGAACTTACCCACTGTTCGAGTGGTGTAATTTCAACAGCTGTCGCTTAAAAATACTTATCGTTATATGATCTGCAGTAGACTTTATCCATCTGAAGAAAAAAATGCTCACGTCATATATTCTTTCGTTTCACCCTGATATTGTGGATATTAGGATATCCACGTGGATATTCTGAATAGTAGGATATCCATGTCGATATCCTAGATAATTAAATAGCATATATCCAAGTTCTAGAATACGAAAG